ATAAACAGGAACAGAACCAAAGCCAAAAATACTCCCACCTTGCCCGAGAAAAACACACACACACACACACACACACACACACCACACACAACACACACACACTCCATACATATTTTACAATTAACAAATTAAGACAAAGATAAGGACAAACATCACCTCAATCTCTCCGCGCCCAAAAGGAGAATGAGATTAAGTTACATTTTCTTATGTTTATTTCCCTTGAAGCGCTAATTAGACGATTTCACAACAAAGCAAAGCTTTGCACATTTATTTCACAGCAACACTTTTTTAAAATAATGCTGCACAGCAAAAATGTTCATTCTAGGACATTTTAAATCTTCAAAAAATAGAACCATTATATAGTTCAGCTTGTTCGACTAATAATACCCCATTAATTATCTTCTGTCTTACAGGCAACCACCATACAGAATAGAGCACATTTTTGCACTTCTTCATTATTCCAATTTTTAAATTGCAGTATATGTTTACAAAACATCCATACCTACCAAAACAAAAACCTGGCGAACATCTGGCTTTGCACATTGCTATTACAATCACAAAAATTATTGACTTCATATTTTGCTTTTTATTTCTTCTTTCACAACATAATAAATCAGTATGCAATAAAAATAGAAATATTTTGATTTTGATTGGTTTGTACAAAGGGTCCAGTGTGGTATCATTTTTAGGGAAGACTATGGGCAGAAATGGAACATAATATACATAACTATGTTTTTATAAGTGTATAATCACACTAATATAGGAATCATTAAATTTTTTGTTACCATAGAATGAGCTGTTTTTATCTACAGATGCCATGGGTCATCTTCTATGGAGTCCGCCATGTTGAACCGCCATGTATCCCAGAACGGACAAACCAAACACTGGCTGGAGATAAAGCCTTTTGCAGTTTCGAGGTCACTGTAGTTTCTCCTACACATTTCACATCCTGCCTCATTTCCGTGTCGTCAAATATAGATGATAGCAGTGTTCAGTTAGTTGCAACTTCACCGCTAGATGCCACAAAATCCTACACACTAGTCCTTTAATAGATGCCACTAACATCTATGGTGGTGACAGGTGAAAGCTCAAAGAAACATCTGGCTGACATACTGATTTTCATTTTGCATTTATTACAAGAAGTAATAAAGTTGGCTGTCTATTTTATGTTAACATGCTTTTTTGGACAGGGAAATCACTGCCTGCTGAAAACCACGCTGATGAGCAGTTAGAGTGAGCAAAAACGGAAGAATTGTGGACTGTGAAACCAAAACTATGAGCTGAAAGACTCTAAACAGAGATAAGGGGAACTGCACAGTTGGTTACAATTCTCTAATTCATAGTCATTTTAACCATTGTTATATAAAACTATTGATCATACCTGCTTTAAGGACTACAGTAATCATGCACTAATACAGTATTCCAATACTGAAAATGTTACAAAGAAGAGCTTGCACCTGTCCTTTTCTTCAAAATGACTCGCCTGACCTGTCCACACATATAATTTTCCATCCATCCATTTGTTCACCGTCCATCCATCAACCCATCATCCACTCCTCCTACAGTGCCTCCACCAGTCTTTTCACTGAACAAATCACACCAGACACACTGCAGATGACCCCTATACTCAGTATACACACATCTGTCAGCCGGGCCCTCACAGATAGGCGGCCCCACTGCAGTCTGAGGTGAAACAGGCACGGCAGTATGAGCGTCATGGCCGCCCCGGTCACACTGCCTGTCAAACCCATCAATAGGGAGAACCTGGGGACTAGCAGGGCCAGTAGGTATGATGTCATCAGCAAGGCGCAGCGGACCAACAAGGCCGGGCGAGACACACTTCGACCTCCGTGTTTGGAGTAGGATGAGACAACAGCATCTGTAGAAAGGCAGAGAGTGGCAGTTAGTTTTGACCCTGCGAGCCACTCCTGTTTACGGGTCGCTCTATCCTGACTCACTGTTTTCCATCTATGTAGTGGTGTCATCAGCCTCCAACTTTAAAACTGTGAAATCATAACAGTGTGACATCATTTTAATAAGGCAGTACTTAAGTGCCACTTAAGCAACATTATTTACTGTAAGAACTGACACCTGTGTTTTAAATAAAAGCTGTAGAGGGCAGGGAAGCTTTAAATGACCTAAGTCATCTTTTCATTATAAAACTACATCACATCACTTTGGAAGTATCATAATTTGATGACTTCATGACTGTTGACAGTCAATACTTATGAAAAGTTCAGGCATGGTGACAAATGTGTTGACAGTCAACACATTAGCAAAGTTTCCCTGATCTCTCAGCTCTAAAATGTAAATAAATGAAAATACTTTATTATTTTATTATTATTGCTGGGTTGTATTTTTGGACATAACACGTAAGGTTTAATTTCATATGTTGATCCCGGTCTTGATTTTAGGTGCCGTAATCAGCCTTTTATATAATTTTTGGCTAGGTTGACATCAGAGCTACACCAACATCTAAATAAGTGTTCCTAGTGTATTAAGAGTATGTATTTCATATAGTATCTGCTGTTTCATGTCATATTTATGCCTCTTATGTTATTTGCCACTGTGCATGGACAATCAAACAGGCTTCCCCCGTAGGGAAGTGATCTAATTTGAATAAAGGGCACTTGTCAGTCATGTTGTTCATAGTGTGAAAACATAGTGAGTGTCCAGTATTTAAATATCTGGGCTGAATCTTTTCTTAAAACAATGTTCACTTCATCAAAACATATACTTCCATTATCTTTCTTGGTAACCATAATTTTAGTAGTTATGGGGGCTCAGGGGTGGATGCCAGCAAGTGGTGGTCTGCGAGCTAAACAAACTTTTAATCGTAAGTCAGCTAAGACCTCATTCTCTGTTCCTGCAAGACTGAAACACCGGCAGGGTTTCCCACAAGAAGCTGCCCAGTCTTACCACAGTTTACTACTGGTGACCTCTGGAGCTCAAGGGATACTGGGTTGTACGAGAGAGTAAAAATGTCACTGATTCACTTTCTTAAATGCTATTTTTATTGAGCATCCAGGGATTTGAACAGGCAAACCTCCCACCAAGGGCCTGCTTCTCCAGGCTTCTGCTGCTCCACAGAGTATGTAGAAATATGTTAAGGAAAGGACAACTTCCCAAGGCCATGTGTGGTCTACATATAATTCATTTTAACTTGAAAATGTAGATCTACACTCAGTTTTAATCATTACACCTTAGATCAACTTACAATCGTTTAAATAGATGGCCTGAAGGAATTCGTACATCATGTATACTTTGGGCAAAGTCAGTGGTTTGGGCAATGTGTTCACCTCCAAGCAGACACGTTTGTAGTATTTCAGCAGCAGAGTAGAATGGCAGAGGGTAGGACAGCAGGGCTTTAGCCAGCAGACATAGGTTGACGAGAGGTCGAAGGTCAGAGGGCAGGTTGTCTGTGATGACCTCACTGGTTTCTGCCCCCCAGGTCACCACAGCCTAATGAAGGAAGCAATCAGTCAATCAATCACTCCAATTTTCTGTTCCTCCTCCCATTCTTTGATTTCACTTGCCATTGGCAGCTAGATGTTAAACCACTAACCAGTAATGAGAACATCGTTTTCATGATGCAGGCGGCACCATGAGTCCACCCCAGCATGGCATCAAACTGCCCTCTATCTTCCATACTGCCCTCTAGAGGAGGGAGGAAGATCTGTGAGGTGTAGGAGAAGATGATGACACCCACAGAGACAAGAAAGTCCTCCGGGTCCACAGACAGGGACAGAGAGGACCAGGACCAGCTGCTGGCTCGACTCAGACAGTATAGCATGACCAACAGGCTGACAGAGGGTCAGAGACAGAAGGAGAGAAATGAGAAAAAATAAGGCCCCCCGACTTAAAACTTAATTAATTTTAAAAAAAATCCTTTTGTTTATTCATTCATTCAACATTTGGTTGTACAGGACAGTCCAATTATTGTTGTCCAACCTGTATGGTTTTAAATTCTCTGACTTCTTAAGCTAAATGGTGCTTTTAAAACTAATTGTGTGAGCTGAAAAATGTTTTGGCACGAAGCTGAAAACAAGGCTGTTTTTCTTTGCTCTTCATTCATGGTTTTGTTTTAGCAATGTTTTGTTTTTCTGAATAATAATCATGCAATTACAGAATTGGAATAATTTAAATTGTTGGATGTTTGGGCCATTATTAATTTGAAAAAATGGATAAATTTAACCAGAAATACTGCCACAAATTTATAAATTGAGGCATATCCTACTGACACTACTGATATTTTTCACTAAAATGCTTAAATGTTGTGTTCACCATTACCATTGTGCAGTGCTTTTGTTTTCTGATTTAATCTCTGCTCCTGAGGGTGTCCCAATTAATTCAAGCAGCTACAAGAGATTCAGCTAAATTAGATAAAGGTACAAATAAAATATTTCCCCCTCTCCTTAAGTCTTGAATTGTAAGGGAATAAACTGAGAACTAACGTGTATTTACACATGACTTAATAGCGAAAGAAACGCTCTGAGAGATCTGAGGAATCCAGAAGCCGGAGAACTTCAAGAGCCAGTCTTGTGCAAGACACCTGGCATGAGAAATAAATCAAACAACCCGTAACAGCGGTGTGTAGCAGGTGGGAGCAGACAGCATAACCAGCAGCAGCTGCAAAATGATCACAAGAGTGAGAATGAGAGCAGATTATAAAAAGCGCCTTGTTGTCTTGATTTAATAAGATTGGTGAGTTTTGTCAGCTGGTACTGATCAGATGACAGCGTCGTTCTGTCACAACAAACATTATGCTACTTTTATCAAATCACCTGATCAGTATGTGAGCCAGGGAGCAGAGCAGACTGAGGGTGGAGACTGGTCTGAGATCAGTCAGCAGCAGACAGGGCAGCAGGAACATCAGAGAGACAAGAGAACACACGGATCTAGGAAGAGACATTCCTGATAGACTCTCAGACAACAGACTGGTGGAGACGACTAGATACAGGGTACAGGTCATCAACAGTTCAATCACCTGAAAAAAAGGGTGAAAAGAAAGGTGTTTATTTAAAGCATTTACTGTGTATTCTTTTCTTTTCTGTTTATCTAAATGTACATCTTGAATAGCCCAGTGTGTAGGATTTAGTGGCATCTAGTGGTGTAATTGCAGATCGCAACTCCCTCGCTTCAGCCTCCCCTTCCAAGAATCTACAGAGGCCGCGAAAAAAAAAACATGAATGCCCCTATCAAGAATCAGTGTTTGGTTCGTCCCTTCTGGGCTACTGTAGGGACATAGAAGTTCAACGTGGCAGACTCCATGGAAGACAACTTCTAAATAAAAATGATTCATTCTAAGGTAACAAAAACACAACAATTCCTATATTCAGGTGATACATTATACTGCCAATAAATCTTCCTAAAT